TGCTGAAGGGACTTTGAGCAAGGCACATAACACCATCTACTCAGTAGAACTGCTCAGCTGCCAACTGACTGTGGCTGACATATAGTGTGTTGAGTAGGGCGCTCTGAAAAACAAAAGCATTGTTTGCAGAGAAAGTGCCCCAGAAACAAAACAATATCCTATGGGATAGTTCAACCACCCACAATCAACACATGGGATCAGGAATTTCTGTTACTCCAAAATCGATTTACAATCAGAATCAGAATCAGCTTTACTGGCCAAGTGTGTTGGACACACAAGGAATTTGACTCTGGTACAGCGGCTCTCAATGTGTACGTACATATTAACAAGCAAGGGAATGTGCATTAGGAAAGGAGATTAAAAAAATAAGAGTAAAGTGCTTATAAATAGACAAGTCTGATAATTTCACATACAGTATGAGCAGCAAAACTCAACTGTGCTAATTTTTCAACAATACCTTCAACTTCTGAATGAACACAATGTTAAAATGCACAATTTACAAACTCGGTTGTTTGGGTAATCTCTTAACTTTTTTCATTTTCATCTTTAGTTGTTTATGTTTTTCCTTTTATTAAAATTGGCTGCACAATATCACACTAAATCAAAACAAACAACAAAAGCCCAGTAGGATATGTGGAAGGGGCTGTTGTAGGTATCTCAGCAAAGAAGAAAACTCCATCTTCTCTTGTATGACATAGAATCTGTTTCAAACAAATGCTTATTGAGCCTTGTCAAGATACAACAAATGTGAAAGTGGTGATGAAAAGAAAGAGAAAACATCTGCCAGCAACACTTTGCCATTATCTTCTCAACTCTCTAGGGACCAGTCCCCACAACACTCGTGCTCTATCAGAGTAAAATACTAAACAAGCCCCGCGACTGAATCTGCAATGTGAGTGTGTGGGCACAGTCCATTAAAACAGTGAAAATTAACCAGCATAAAGGTAGATTAAATATAGACCATTTTCTTTTCTTCTGTCTCACTCTTTTCTTTTGGGTATGGCCTCATTCTCTCTGCAGCTGTGCTGTGTCTGTCATAAATCTCTACCAGGTCTGGATTTATGTACTGGCTGCTCTACAAGACTCTGAGCTCACAGAGCTGTGGAATATGCCCCATATTTTCTCCATTGCTCTGTAAAGGAAGTGGCAAAGCATGACAGTGTTTTGACTTGCTTCGGTGAGACTTCACCGATAAAGCATTACATACACAACATTATGAGAACAAAAGATAGATGTGTGCAAAAAGACATTCTAAGCATCTCAACACAGGCAAACCATTTTAATTCATACAGCCCTGGCTTCTGCTGTGCTGCTAATACACTTGTAAGCCTAATTTTCATTTACATCTCCACACACACACACTCACTCACTTTTGTTTGTGTTAATGTGGTGCAATATGTGCATTCAGAGGTAAGAGGGACTGCAGGGTGGGGCAGCAGCAATAGCAGTATTTCTTTGTGTGGCTGTAGATTAGTGGAGGCTGTTCCTGGGAGG